CCTCTGAGGACACTGCTACTTGGCAGGCAAAATTCCCTACTCTGCCTCCAACATTTCACCTCAACCAGTGCCTCTTCTTTTCTCACACCGTGTTCCATGGCACTCCTCTCCTGCCCTGTTCCTTCCCTTCTCATTCTGACTGCAGCAAGCATATTATACACACCCTCCTCCCACAAAAAAAAAGCAACAGAAAAAAAAAGAAACAACAACAACAAAAAGACAAACAAATATATGTCTTTAGAGTCTGCAGCTCATCACATTTGTTTTAAATGTCTGAATTAATCGATAAATTTTGTACTAGGGCAGTAATTTCCACTGACTGTGGAAGTACAGATGTCTGCCTCTGATAAGGTAGAGCAGACCTCTCAAGAGAATAATTCCATGCTGGACGTCCAAAATTCTGCTAACAATTCCTTAACTATTTTGTTTCATAGGAACTCCTGATCTCCTGGAAACTCCTGATCAGGAACTCCAGATTCTGAAGTATCGTTGTCCCTGCCTGCAACATGGACAAAATGTTCAGCTGGAACTTCCTCTAGATCTTGGTTATGACTAAAAAATGTTTCTCCTTTTTTATTTTATTTTTCCCCTGCATAATCTCTCAGAGATAGGGCCACATCCAAGCCATCATTATTTTGCATCTTTCATAGTGTCCTTTCCAAGTAAATGACATCCCCTCCTGTTTGTTCAATATCCAGTCATAAAGATAAGCTTCTTACTCTTCCTGTTCAGCCATCTTATTTGCTCATTACACGTCCTCCTGAGGATATATCAACCACACCAGATGTAAGCAGCAGGTTGAAGGCCTTCCCTTGAAAGTGAAGACAGCTTGTTGTCACTGTACCTATCTTTCAACTATGGGATACCAGCATCACTCACTAATTAAATTCTCAAGCAATCAACTGCATGTCTTGTTTTCTTTTTTCCAGTGGCTAGATGGCTAGAGGATGTGAGGGGAGATTCTTCTAAGCCTGTATACATGAAATGATCTCCTTCAAGGCCAATGTTAAAAATCTCCTTTCTTGCTCACGTTTGGATTGCTAGTGTACTAAAACACTGCCTAGCACATAATCCATACTGTCTCACTGCTTCCTTACAACTGCAAAGTTATGGCATTTAACTGGGCAAAAGACAGAGGTACTAAGCTGGCTCTGGCTAAGTTAACTCAGTTAGTGGAAACACACCTGTGACCAGTTAATTAGCTTTTCTCTTAAGTGACAGAGAAGCTGAGCTTAATTACTTGGGAGGAGTACATGGGTTTCATATCTCTCAGGTACCAGAGATATTTCTAACACAGTACTGTGCCATGCAAACCTACACCGAGGGCTTGTGCTTTTCTTGCTGATACCTGTTTCACTCTAGATGCCACAGCTCCAACTCTTGTCTTTACATTCACAAATTGCAGAAGGAAAGTCTGTCTGGCAGAATCTGAAGACTGGATGGGACTGGACAGGATATCTTCCTGTCAGGCTTTTATTGCCTCATATCTTAAAGGGAGTGAGGAGAATAGGGTGAAATGCAAAGGCCGTAGTACAAAAAGGTAATGGTCCAGAATGCACAGTGAAGAGTATGGGTTATCCGAGCTCCTTGCTCTCTTACAGGTACTTCATATTCACTTGTTTCCAGTATCCTGGAGTATTAACTCTACACGACAAAGGGCCATGTAGTATAGACATTGGTTCTCCATCCCTCTGGAGTTTTCCAAGGATAGAGTTATTAAAGATATTAAGTTCTTCCTTAGAGTAGTATTGAGGTCATCCACCTTGATCCTACAGAAACAACATTTCCTAATTTTGTAAGTGTTTTGGAAAATTCATCAATTATATTTTCTAAAATATCATAAAATTTTTAGACATCAAGATACCATAGAGTATGCTCAACACTGAAAATCCAGCAGATGCTAAAAAGAAAGAAAACCCTATCTGGATGTACCCATTTTTAAGTCATGTTTCTATGTCGCACTTGGTGAAATTCTCATTCTGAAATAAGAATTCTGTTTTCCAGGCTACAGAAAAAAAAAGAAAACTTGATCTATGAGCTGGATAGTAATGGTCCCATGCAGCCTGCGTGTAGGTAAAGGCAAGTTTACAGATCAAATTGGCAATTTCCAGCCCAATGCTTTTAACATATATTTGTAAGGGAAAGTTCTAGATAATGAGAAGTGTTTGAGACACAGAGATAAAGCAACAAAGCTGCAATTTCCTTGAAATCCTCCTCTCCCTCCAATGGCTCATAATAGAGTCTTTTTTTTTTTGAATTATTTGTACTGTGCATACCCTGAATGTCATAGAATCATGATGGTTGGAAAAGACCTTCAAGATCATCAAGTCCAACCATAAACCCATCACCACCATGCATGCTAAAATCATGTCAGAGAAACCCAGCCTGGCCAAGGCATGGATGGAGGTTAGCCACACTGAGAAGCCAAAGGGAGCACAGAGCATGGCCTAACTTTGGCAAATGCAGAAATTATCAGATGTTAGAAGGAGATTTTTCATATGCAATAAAAAATATAACCAAATTCTCACACCAGGTTCAACACAATACTGTTTGTTTCTGTGAAGGAAGCAAGGATCAAGTCTGTTTCTACACACCCGGAAGAAATTTCTACAGGCTGACATAAGGCTCCATATGACTCAAATCCCAGAAGCACCAGATATCATCTAAGAAATGATATCTCCAGCACAGTCTTCTCTTCCTTAAACATTATTCATAAAATTTGATTTTATGGAGCACATCATTGCAGTATTTGCTTTAAGTCACTACTTAACTGCACATCCGACTCTGTTTAACAAATTTGTATGCTTGACTCTGCAGAATAAGAATACATGTTACTAACTTGATAAAAACACAAATGTTTCAACTATTTTTACAGCATTTGTTCAGATTTATGTATGAATATTTAAAGAAACAGCTTTAATGAAAACTGCCTTACAGACTAGTGAGTTTCGGTGGGCAAGTGATTGTAAAATTAAAGAGTTAAAGTTTCTACTATGACATCTGTCTTAGATGTCACTGAGCACCCAATAAAACAAACAAGATAACGATTCAGCAGATTTCACCCACTGAATAAGCAGTGGGTGAGAAAACATATGCAGTTCAAGAATAGATTCTCAAAGTAGTATGTTTTTTGGAGATGTTTTTTGTTTCTGTTCCCTGAGTTTATTATTTGGCCTGTACAACCAATGGAGCATTCTCTGGAAACTGAGAGAGCAACTTGGAGCAATATCCCAACATGTGCAAAACATTTTGTTCATAAAGCTCTTGAGGAAACTTTCAAGACAAATACTGAGCTCGCTATGGGTGGTCTTCAGAACATGAAGGAGGAACGGAGGAACATGAAGAGGAACGTATTAGAGCACCACAGGATTGGATAATCCTATCCTAACATTTAACATATTTAAATTTGTATTATGGGTTCAGTACATTCAGTACATTCATATGTCACATCCATCCATGCATCCATGCTGGAAGGCAGCATACTGAAAGAATGTAAACTTCGTGTTCATTTCAGAGAGCCAGCACACCAAATTTAATGTCAATCTGCTGTCTTCTCAGAAAAATTGTTAAGGTAGAAATTACAGATATTTTCATCCAAACAACATGCTAGCCAAGCTTTTCCGTTATTCCACCAATTTAGTCAGGCTAAGCAGCTAAATGTAAAATATGAAATGTTCTTTGACATTACAACAGTAGCAAGGAAAAAGGAATGGACTAGTAAGTGTTGCAAGTCATAAAACAATACATCTCACATTGTCAGATGTGCTTATTTCCCTTTAATTTGTAATTCTTCATGTCATAAAGTTGCACAAACCCAAATCTGAGTAGCTGGTATACTAAAGGGTCATTAAAATAAAAGAAATATGACAAATGCAATATGGAGTAGATTTATGGAAGTAGTAAGAAAAATATTTCTGAACATCAAAACAACAACAACAACAATCTATTTTCTAAGACTTAAGGTTAAAGATTTCAGACCACAGTTATTTCACATATCTGTTTTTAATTTTTGCAACAGATGCACTTTAACTGCCCTCCCAGAATCAATATTGCTGACCTTTTAGGCTGCGAGCCCTGTCTAATCAAGCAGGAAGCCTTCTAAATTAATATTTTTAGAAATCTGGACTGCTTTATGTGGAGGCTGCCTACTATGCATGATGTCACAGATTAATGTTGTACAGTTGTATACCAAAGAGCAGCAAAATGATGATTTTACAATAAGATCTCTGTTGCATTATTTGCAACACTCTGCTCTGAATAAAACCTGAAGTATTTGCGCTGGTACTGAGCACAGATTCCAGGGTAAAAATAACTACCTCAGTCTGGAACATTTAGCAAACCACATTTTCCAACTAAAATAACACTGTATGCATCTGTTAGGTTTTAACACCCGTTTTAAGGAACCCTATATGAAATAAACACGAGGCCAGGTAACCTAAGGACAACGTAAAATTTGTAGGCCAAGGTCTTTCAAAGCAAACAGCGTGATTTCAAAATGTGAAAAGTGTTTTTTTTTTTCCCCTGCCTAAATGCATGTATTTTCAGCTTTTTAGCAGAATCCCAGTAAAGTTCAAAACCAACCACGAGATAACTTTAGCAGAGGGCTGCTGCAGTCCTGGTGCTAATTAACAGCCTCAGTCACTTTCACAAAACCCCCCTGGCTCTTGATTTACGTGGCTGTGCTATAAAGTCTCTGACCCGATTCCTAAAGCCAAAGTAAAATACGGACTGTGCAGCAAACTGCAGTCTCCCTGGAGTCGCACAGTAATGCAACGTTTCAGGCAAAGCTTTTAAGATTCACGTGTTAATAACACCATGCGGAGGAGCCAGTAATGGAGACGTGCTTGCACATACGCCGTGGTCATTAGATCTGTCATTTGTTTGTATACAGATCTCAGATCCAAGAGCTCAGGTTAATTTTAGCTGGACTTGCACGATCCTGCCAGACCCACTATCCATAGTCATGCTCATTGCTCCGCACTCTGCTCCAGCTCACTTACCTTTTTCACTGTCTGTGGATTCCTGATGGGGAGGAAGCAGCGAGTGTTGCTTGTGGAGACCTCCTTGTATCTTCCTCGCTGGGTTTTATTCTGTTTGCTTGGTGAAATCCCATTCACAAGTGCGGAAAGGAAGCTGCTGGTCATGAGGGGAGTCATGGTCTGGCAAAACAGACAGATGGCCACCACTAAGGCCAGAATGAAGGGCCGAGGGCGGCAAAGTCTGCGGCACCTGGGGGCCTGCCCACAAACCATGGCCTCACCACGTTCCTCACTTCATCCTTTGCCACATTGCAGATGCAGTCAAGGCAACCTCTTTTTGCCAAGTTGAAAAAAAAAAAAAAAAAGGCACGTATTTTTCCAAACTAGTTAGTCTCCATTTCTACTGGTGAATTCTTTCATGATTCTATAAGTCCCAGCTTCCAAGGGAGCAGAGGTCTGTACAGAGCCCTCCCACAAGGGGTACAGGAACAACCTGTGAGAAAACAAAAGTGAGTGGCAATAAACAGCATGGTGTCATAGGGGGGATTGTAAAAAGCCACACTGGGCTCTCCGGTGCTGCTTTCCTTGGGGAACAGCCCTGCAGACAAGCAGGTGAGGCGCAGAGCCCTTCACCCTCAGCATTGCATAAGGAACTGCTCCGCCAGCCGATGGTATCCAAGAAAGCAAAAAGTTAAAGCTTAGCATGTCCTGTCCACAGCTGAAACGAGTAAGAAAGTGTACCAACTTTGTGAACAAATCGCTTGCTGTTTTTTCTTTCTTGCATTCTCAATTCCCACTTTGTTTTTACAGTTTCCTTCATTCCAGTCCTTTTAAATTGCCTCTTTCCTGTCAGCATGCACAGCTCGCTCTCTTTAAACGATCATTTATCTGAAAACTGACAGGCTATGATTTCCCTTTGCATTTGCTTTTGTCCGATTGCGAGCTCAAAGTTATGTTTACTTACTCCGTTCTTATCCTGTTAGAAGTTTTCCATTCTCCTCTAATGGGCTGCTGATTAAAACCACTTGGAAGAGCCCTGGCTCGTGCTCCCAGCTCGTCTCGCGCGCTCCGAAGGCAGGCGCACACGCACACACACACACAGCATCTGAAGCCAGTTGGACCACAGATTTCATATAAATAAAGGCTGGGCTGCTCGGAGGTGGGGCTAAGTCAGCGCCACGCTGAGCAGGCACCACGCTCGGAGGCACCGCGCTAGGTCCGGATGGGGAGCCAGGGGTGCTCCCTGCACAGCCCGCATGCCTCGAGGCCACCATCACTGCAGTTTTTAGAAATCTGCTCTTACTGCAGTAAATCTAACTGGAACAGCAATAATCTATTGCAGACAGTAGGAATCTGAGCGCTACCTGCAATATTTTAATCTGAATTAACAAAAACATTGTAAAAGGGGGCAGGCTTACAGGGGTGTAAGTATCTCTGACAGAGCTGTCAGTAATTTTCCACAGTATATATAGTATTTCGTAGCAGTGTATAAATAAAACTTCCTACTAATGTTAGAGAGAGAAAGAAAGGAAGGCAGACACAAATAGTCCAATGAAAACACTTGGTATCTAAGTCACAGAAGATCTTAGTTACTACTTCCCCCTGCTGACACAGGACAGGGACGGGACAGATGGCAGAAGTTGCAAAACTCAGGGTTGTCTTATAGACCTAATTGTCTCATATAATTCCTCTTGCTACAATTATCTGTATTCAGTTAATCAAATTTGTCTTATATTTCTTGCATTCTTAGCTATTTTTGAAAAGAAGGAGTTCTTCCAACACCGCTTATACTTGAGACAAGAGTGCTGGCCTGTTATGAATAACCTTGGGCAGCCCTACACAATATAATAGTGGCAGCCCTAGCAAGTTAGATGCTTACATACAGCAGTGAGGGCAACAGTATGTAGTTGTTTGATATGTTGGTGTATAATCCACTTTCAAATCCTTTTTTTTGCCTTTTTTCCCTATTGACTTTTTAGGCCATCCTGGACAAGGAAAGAGTTCAAAACTTGCCTCTATCCTGCAGTGATGAATGCTTTCCATCCACACAGAAACTGCCATCTGTGTCTCCAGAGGGAAGCTTCTCATGCTCCCTGCTTCCCAGCACGCCAGCTCCCATCCTCAGGCCCTGCTCCACTCAGCCTGTGCTGCCAAGCATCTGGCAAGCCACCCAGTCTGGCTAGTGCTCCATGGAAAACCACGGGCTCCCTGCAGCTGACTTTGGGGTAGATTATGTGACACTATGGAGAGTGGTACCCAGGGAGCGGATTTATTAAAGGAGTAGCGCAGGGCCAGCCTGGGAGCCACAGTCACCCATCAACAGAAGAGAAGAGCACAGAGAGGAGAACTGATTTACTGTTTTAGAAGATTGTCCTGTGGTTTTGAGCATGCTTTGATTTCTGAGGTTATAGCCACTAGTATTTGCAGGGCTGTCAACTTCTCCCGAATTTTTACTGAGAGCGTTTTACCCAGAGCTTTCCATGCTGTTGCTGGAGGCCTTGATCAAACCATTTTATAGGCTTTGGATTAAGGGTCACCTCATGCTGTGAAGATCATAGGCCCTTCCCAAAGCTCCACATTAGATCAAAGTAATTCTGTATCTCCTCTACCTCATTCCCTTAATTATCTTCAGCCCAGCAAATAGCTATACATTCCTTCCTGCCCTGCAGCATTTCCACCCCACAGCTCATAAATGAGAGCTTTAACTTCACATTTTCCCCATAGGTCTTAAAACCACCTCATGCTTCTCACAGTCTCAGGTTCCCTCCCAGACCCAGAGTTTTTAGGACAAGGTGGTATCTTTTACTCCTTTACTGTCCCAAGCATGATTCTTGAAAACTAAACAGGGTAAGAGGATCTGCAGAAGCCAAATGGTCACTCTACCTCCTGGATACTCCTGAGGGTCTTCAGTATGTGCGCTTTTCCCAGATATTTCAAGGAGTGAGGTAACTTCTCCCTTTACGTTTTGTGGGTCATTTTCCTTACAATAGCATGAAACGCAAGTTTTTTAAGCTGTAAATAAGTTTCTCAATCACAGCTATAATGCCTCATGACTTCTGTCATATTTTTGATGAGGTTTCCAACATATCTCTAGGTTTAAATGTTTACTGGCTTACTTGGTTACATTCTGATGCTTCAGAAATTAAGGTAGGACTATTGCACATGAGGACTAATTCCCCTGTCGTTAACTACTCAGTTAGGTAAAGCATATGAGTGGATAGAGTCAGGCCTCTTCAGTCATAAGAAAGTACTTCAGTTTTCAAAAATTTTAGAAGACACATTCCTATAAGATCAGGAATGTCTGGTGACAATTTTCTATATAAGCTCACAGGTATATGTACATATTTCAAAATTCTTAGAAAGCTACAACTCTCCTCTGTACAACATATGGCATAAATTTGGAATTCATTTTCTGTTTGGGATTCCTGGACCTCTTCCTTCCTGTGACTGCTCCCACTGCGCAGATTCAGGGCTCTCTGACTTTCTTACCTTGCCCTGTTCCTTCTGCTTCTGCTCACTCAGGACTTCTTGCCTGGATGCCGCCTACAGCAGCTGGCCTCTGTCCTGCTCTGCTCAAGTCCTGCGGGAATTGTTTCCATCAAAAACCACCAGCCGTGTCTCTAAACAAGTGATCTCCGGTGCCTGTGAGGAGAGCCCCAGATACATCTGCATCACCTGGAATAGACTGTACGTGTTCAAATATACTGTGACACTGACAAAAGGAGGCGAAAATCATGAGACTTGGCAAAAATTGCAAGAGACTGGTATTTGAAAGGATTTCCCCTATATGCCACATAGGTATGTAATGTGTATCATTTACCATCACACTGGGGTTTTGAACAACTGATCCCAGTTTCGCACAGGTTCTGCTCTACTCAAATCACTGTGTTTGGTCAGTGTGAAAGCTAGGGACCACTGAAGAGTGGTTTTGGATGGCATAGGTAGTTAACTGGACAGATAACTGCCAGGAACTATCCAAAAAGAAAAAACTAGGCACAGGAGGTTAGCAATAATTTATGTCTAGCTGAATATATCCATTAGGTGCAAGTTTAACATCACTCACAGATCCAACATGAATCATTCTGCAACTCTGAATAAAGTTCAGTCTATGTATAAGCGCATGTAAGATCAGGACTTGGTATAATAAGAAACATTTTGCATCAATAATTTCACTATACAGAGGATGCCAAGGAGAAAATATGTCTAAACACTAGTTGAGAATTACTCTTTTTAGAGTAAGATTGAAATTTCAAAGTGTGGAGTCTTAACAACCATTTCAGTGATAAATGAGCTCACATGAGAAATAAGATCATTGCTAAAGTACTGTCCATCAAGTCCTTCCAATCATGTTTATCACCTTGATAGTACAGACCTATTTTCATTGTCTATAGTCATCTCTAACTTCATTTTCTAGCATCCCAAAAACCATAGAGCCATAAATTTCCACTGACTTCAAATACAGGATGCAAGGTCTATGAACAATAGGCATTAATAGCACTGTGCATATTCAAGTAAAACATCTAGTAAACTGTACTGAAGAAAGCTTGTCAAGCCATACCCTCCATGATTTTCCATTTCTCCCTGAATTCAATCCAGATTACAATTAGATTTGCATGTGTCGTTAATCCTGTGTGTGGTCCCATTGTGAGCAGTGAATGAGGAAGACTGATACAGAGTAACAGAGCGAAGAAAATAGGAGTAATACTATTCATTACCCTTCTGCCCATTAGAAGATTCAGTACAACTGCTGAAATTTAAATTAATCCCAGCATTGGTAAAAAACAGACGTTATCCCCCTCTCCCACGCATAGAGCCCTATTGGCCTCAATGGCTTTGTAATTTTCTTCTGAAAAACACTCCAGAGAGAAGAGGATTCCTGCCTTAATCCCACTCTGGCTCTACTATCTCTTCTTGGCTCATAGTGAAGGTAGGTTAGCAGAGAAGACTGAAAATCCCGGGGAAGCAAAATAGTTGATGCTCATGGAAGAGCAGTTCTGTTTTGCTTTTTATTGCTATTTATGTGCTAATGGAAGAGCAGTTCTAGGGGAAACACCCCTTTCTGTTTTGCTTTTTATTGCTATTTATTTAACCTTTTATTTCTATGCAAGTGGACAATAATGATCTCAACTACACAAGCATGTGCATTGATTTTTCCAACCAAATGATGTATACTCCATTTTAAATCTTTACTCTGAAAATGTTTATCCGTTTATTAAGAGTTGTGACATTGTTAGATGTTCTGCCCCAAGGCGGATGCCGTTAGACCTTCAGTTCCATTGGCAAATCAACCAGTTTGGTAATTGCTTGCAACTGATAAAAGGAATGTCTTGCTTATCC